TCGTAATTAATTTCGTAATTACGTATTACGTATTACGTATTACGTTTTTGGCAAAATAATTACCATAGCATGTATACCTGCAACGCAATAATATCGATCTTTGGCTTGCTTCATAAATGATCCACCAGGTCTATAAAGCCATTTAATTACTGTATGTTGGATTATTTTAGCTGAATTAATTTGTTTTTTCCATAAGCGATATGTTTTCTGGATAATTAATGACGCACGATTTTTTTTATACAATGCTAGTTGAACTTTAAAATTCCTATATCCGGGGTCATTACCTATTTGTTTATGGCTGGTTAAATTATTTTTGATACGAAATACAAAATTTTCCCAGTAATCTCTATTATTTATTTCATATCCTAGTTTTAATAAACGCTTGCGTACATACTTTGGTGGATAATATTTTGCAAACCATAAACATGCTTCTGGTGTTTTAATATTGTTAACAATATAATTTACACCATATCCACTTAACCTATCTCGTACTCTGCTATAACTCATTATATATTTGCTATTTCAGACGTATCTAATATAGTTTTAACTGGTACTTTGTTAATTTCGCAAGATAAAATCTCATTGTGTTTTATTATAATAATAGCTGTGAAACAGTTGCCTCTGGCAATAATACCTCGAAACTAGTATCTAAAATTGTTAAACAGATATCACAGAAAAATTTCGATTTCTCTTCACCAATTACTGGAAATAGTGAAACCCGAGATTGGGCTAAAGATTATTGACTTAATAGTAAACCAGATATTTCTCAAAAAAATCGTACACCATCTGAGACAACATCCTCATCCTCGTCTTCATCTGGGTCTGAGTCTGAATCGTCTAATGATGATGAAGATTTTACTGTAGATGTGGTAGGCGAAAGCCATTACTCTGCAATAAAAGTGAAGAAGCGTGATTAGTTATCATCATCAGAAATTTCTCCGTATAAATTGATAATATCCTCAACCTCATTATTTTCTTGTTTAGGTGCTGGAGTATTTGGTCTGTCATTCATTACACCATAATGTTCAACTGATGAAGCATGACCTATTTTATGC